GCTCTTTATTTTATTTTTATTTAAGAAAATTTATATGGCTGCCGATGCAAGGTTGACTCTGTCTCTCAGTGGTCCTTCTTCCAGCATGAGCTCTTTGGCACTGTAACTGGCCCTACCCATCTTTCTGCTAGTTGTCCTCTTCTCTTTCCTTCCTTTTTCCCAGCATTAGAGCCTCCAGAAAGCTAAGTCTTCACATAAAATAAGATATTACATCATATTGATCATTATATCTCAAGTGAGAACTCTAGGTTGTTTTCTTCTCTTGTACTATGTCTTCTGTCTGTACTGTTTGATAGATAGTAGAACATGGGCAACCATGAAATGATTCCTGAATCATGCAGAATGGAACTAAGTACGTGTGAGATGCCAACCCAGTACTGAAACTGGACAACAAAATCAAGAAAAGCTCAACCATCTAACAAAAAAAGAAGGCTTCTGAATCTCGAGGTTCCATGATACCATAATGATTAGTAGCCATTGCTGGACCTCACTGCGCTTCCTCCATGAATTCATTACTATCACCTATATCATGGGTCCCCAACCTTTCTGGGTTGGCGGCCTGGTGGGAGAGGGAGAGGCAGGGGCCTTACGCATGTGTGAGCAAATGTGAATGTAGCCACACAGGTGCGCATGCACACAAACAGGCTGCGACCATGTGCATCACACAAATGGGGAACGTGAGCATGCACGTGAGGCTCTCGGCAATGCCAGCGCCTGTGTCAGGCTTGTGGCGCTGCCAGGCTCGCGGCGCTGCCACCACCGGTGTGAAGATCATGCTACCGGCCTGTGTGAGGCTCACGCTGCGGCCTGCCTGCTGATTGTCGTGCTGCCACCATCCACGTAACACTTGCGGCAATGGTGCCGCAAAGTGGGGTGAGCATGCACACACGGGCATGTGCACTACCCAGTACTCATGTGGCCCAGTGGTCAAGACGCCATGGCCTACAGGTTGGTGGCTATTAATTTAGATGGACTTAAAAATTGTTTTCCCAAAAATAAGACCCGGCCTTATGGTTTTTTTTGCCTCCAAAAGAGGCATCAGGTCTTATTTTGGAGGGATGTCTTACCCTCTTACCTTAGGACCACTGCAGCCAGGCCTCCCACGCCCCAACACCTGCCTCGTCTTGGCAGCCCACTTCTGTGACTGCTCACCACCACTTGCGTGTATTGCCCCTGGCCTCTGTTTCACCTTCAGATGCCTTTCTGGAAGCCCTCTGGTGGCAAAACAGAAGCCAGGGGGCGCCCCGTGCGTTCAATCTGGAGCTCGTTTCTCAGCTGCAGAGGCCTTTCCGGAAGGCCTCTGGCGGCAAAATGGAAGCCGGGGGCGCTACGCATGTCAATCTGGAGCTTGTTTTTTTGGCTGCAGAGGCCTTTCCAGAAGGTGGCCAGTGGCAATGCATGTGAGCAGCGGTGAGTGGCTGCAGAAGTGGGCCCGCAAGGGAAGGCAGGTTTTGGGGCTTGGGGGGCCTGGCTGCAACTGTCCTAAGGTAAGTGGGTGTGGGGTGTGTGGGGCAGCTCCACCCCCCCCCCAACCCTGCCCTAGCTTGATTTTTAACCATGTGCCTTGCCCCACTTCATGCAGCCAGGTGCAATGGAGTGGGCGGGATCTTAAGTAGAGCTTATTTTGGGGGATAGGTCTTATTTTTGGGAAAACAGAAGAATTGGATTGCTTCTGAATCAGTTTTATTCACACAATGGGATTCAGTCTGTTCACTTGGTTTTAGCAGAGGCCTGAATGAAACAGCATCAACACCAATATTTAAGGCAGAAATTACTGGCATCTTTTCTTCTATAATTGCCATATATTTCATGGCATCTTGAGTCAAGAGCAAGTGTACTTCTCCGGATGAAAGAGGTGTTTACTTGGAGGTAAGGAGAGATGCTGACCTATTGTTAATACCCTTCAGAAATAAAGTAAAAGAAACATTGCAATTCCTCTCTAAACAATACAGCTGTGTTCATAAAACAATCTTAACCTGATTACTGATTTTTACCCATATTTTAGATTTACATGATAAACTAATTTTTGATTAATCAAATGAACTATGAACTATGTTTACAAAGCACAACTGCATTTGCACAAAAATTCTGCACCAAAATAACTCATGTTGTCTTGAGTGCAACTACTAGGTTTGTAATAGGTTTGATTAAGCAAGTTGTGTTAACATAGCCATGCTTTATAGGTAGGGTACAGAAAATGCAGTAGAGTTGGCTTCTCAAAATGTTACACTTCTGAGTCTTCTCTGCTGCCTTTCCATCTTTTCATAGGCTTGATTTCTGCTGTTCATGTCCTAAAATACAGCTGCAGCCCCAATCTATCCATGCCAACTGGCAATGGCCTTTTGAAGCTTTTTCTTGCTACAGTGCTACTAACAGATTCCACCTTGTTCCTTTCTCAGAGACTTAATGTAATTTCTATTCCTTTAATCAATGGCTTCCTGTTCACTTTAATTACCAATTAGCATTTTATAGCCAAAGCAGTTTTTAAAGCCAAAGCAGTTTTTCCTTGATTAATCTTATTTTTTATAATCAAATATTGCAAAAATATTGTTAATAAATAGTGTTTTGCCCTTTCCTTGTATCCAGGGCAGGGGTTCTACAGTGTGGCTTATAGTCATATAAGCACTTAATTAAAACATTGGTGGTATTATTTTTATTATTATTATTATTATTATTATTATTATTATTATCCTTTGTTATTACTATTACTTTGTTGTTTTGCGTGTATACTGAGAGCTTATGCATGAGAGACAAATTTCTTGTGCATCTAATCACACTTGGCCAATAAAGAATTCTATTTGCAAGATATAGTACTACAATAAGGTTGATATATTCTAATATGCATATCTTTTCTAGTTGTTTCTGTCATCTTTCTTTTCTAATCAAGGTGACAAAACCTCATGATATAACTATAGAAGTGTAGGTACATGAGGTTAAATTGCCCTTCACCATCCTCTGGGTTGGGGATGAAGAAAGCTTCTGTCAAACATCTCTAGGGAACACTACCCTGTATTGAAGAAGGTGAGGATAACTATTAAAGCAAATTCAGCATATCTTAAAAGTAGCAATGCAGCAAGAGCCTGCAACTTTTCATTGCTGAAACTGCAAAACTCAGCTTACAGAAATAAAAATAAATTTGCAGTAGTTGTGGCTTTAAAAAGGAAGCTGGTAAGTAAAATTACTTCTTTCTGCAAGGGGCAGATTTATGCTGTTCTTTTGGGAGTCAGATTGGATTTAGCGGGTTGGTTAAGGTGCTGGATTAGGAGTGGAGAAACTTGAGACACAAAAGCTAGTTGGATGACCTTGAGTTTCAGTCATTCTCTCTGTGGCCTAGGAGGAAGGCAATAAAAGAAGGAACTTCTGAAAACTGCTGTCTGAATGACTGTGTGGCCTTGTTCCTGTCACCAGGAGTCGAGCCTGACTCAAAGGACAAAAAAAAAAAAAAAAGTGATGTGGAAATTTATAAGTGAGGGCAGAACTTTGCAGAAGACCCAAAGAAAATTAAATCAGGCAGACGGGATGATTGTTATTGGCGCCAAATAACTTTTTTTTCATTTCATGAAAAAGTCAACTAAGGCAGAAAAGCTACTGGTAGCAGTGCAGTTTTTGCTTCTGAATACTATCCCATTATAGCATAGCCAGGCTTCTGTTCATGTGATTTTTTTACAGGGTATCTGAGCATGATCAAAATGTTATTCTGAGTGTTTCCCATGCTACTTCTATCTTTTTTTCAAATTTCTCAGCACTACTCTTCTGTCATTGCCAAAAAGAATGTTTTTAATGGACACAGTGACATATTACAGAACAAACTCACTAAACACCACAATTTCCATTTTTCCCCCTATTCCTTATACCCTTTCCTCATCCCATTCTGATCCTTTAGACTGGTATTTTTAATGATTGGGCTGTTTTCTGATCATCAGAAAAAATATGGCACTTTTTTTATTTAGTTGTAGGATTTATAAAACCCCTCACTTCAAAGACTCTAGCCTATTGTTTGTGTTTTTCAAATAACAAGAATAATACAACACTATGTTTGGTTTTTGAAAATAATACAAATAATAACCCTGAGAATTAATATATTTCTACAAACACTTAAATATATATTTAAAGTTAATGGTACCATACTCAGCCAGATATATACAGCACATTAACAATGTGTAAAATATACTGTCTTACTGCTCTTTAAATTGGCAGCATCAATAGCTGTAAGTTATTGTTTCATTCATATTTTATAATAAAATTGTTATAGTGTGAGTATGCAATAAATTAAATAAATTATGCCTTACCAATATCATAAGGCAAATCTGTTAAAAATAGATTATTAAATATAGTATATGAGCTGAACTTTCACAACCTACACTGTTTTGTAACTTTCCCAAGCATGGATAGAACATATTGGGTGTGTGTGTATAAGGACTAAAGGGTGGGAAATTGATTGAAATTTCACATGAAGCTTATAATGAATTAAACTGCCAGTTTGGAAGCATCCAAGGTAAAATTTAGCAAAGCAATCTGGGCATCAGTCAGTGGCGAAATGTGTATATATATATAAAATGATACAAAGAAAAAGGGTATGGTTGTGTTAACAATATGGATGAAGGAAAAGGTTGATCTAGAACAGGCATGTCAAACTGCCATGAGGTAGATTGGGTTGAAAGAAGGACCACATTTGCCTGTGATGCAAATGTGGCAAATGTAGCACAAAGTTAAACAGTCACTACCAGAAAATGTCATGATGACACCATTTTGTGTAGCTTTAAAAGAAGTTCAAACTCAGCACTTGTGTTCTAAATGGAGCAGGCCTCTAGTGAGGCTGATGGAAAGGAACAAGGTGGCCAGAGGTAGGAGCACAATCTTTTCTTTAAAAAGAGACAATGCGCCTTTAAAACAAAGGTTTTTTTCCCCAAAAAAACCTTGCACAGGGGATTTTGAGGTGCCTCCTGGCTCAATAGCTAAGAAGAACATTGTCTCTCTCTTTTTTTCTCTCCTGAAAACAGGGAGAAGAAGATCCTGAGGAGAATCGGAACAAGGAGGAGAAGCCAGATCCAGGAATCCCTGTGAGGAAAGTGGGGCGACCTGGTAGAAAACGGAAACAGCCAGTGGTGAGTGGAAGCCATTGCATGTCCAGAGTTGCAAGATCAGTCACCCAGGGTGTGGATGGGAAGTTACTCTGATTGAGGCCTTTAAATAGGAGAACCAGATAAGGGAGAGTTGGGTTAAATTCTCAGTACTTTCTTTCTAAAGCTAGAGTTTCTAGAGTCAGCAATTTCTAAGAATAGCTTTGTGGCCTTTGTTGGAGGTGAACAGCTACAAGAAGAAAGCAACTGGGAAACTCTATATGTTTTTGCCTACAGAAAAGCCAAAGATCCATATGCACTCACACAAATACATGCTGTCATTGATGCCTGTAACTCCATTTGTAACTCCATTCCATTTGTAATTCCATTCAAATTGGATAGAAACTAATCATGAGCCGTGGTGGCACAGTGGTTAGAATGCAGTACTGCAGGCTATGTCTACTGACTGCTGGCTGCCAGCAGTTTGGCAGTTCGATTCTCACCAGCTCAAGGTTGACTCAGCCTTCCATCCTTCCGAGATCAGTTAGATGTGGACCCAGATTGTTGGGGGAAATATGCTGACTCTGTAAACCACTTAGAGAGGTCTGTAAAGCACTGTGAAGCAGTATATAAGTCTAAGTGCTATTGCTAAGAAGAAAAGCAACCTTGAATTAAGAAGAAGCTTTCTAACAGTGAGAACGATTAACAAGTGGAACAGCTATCCTTCAGAAGTTGTGGGTGTTTCATCACTGGAGGTTTTTAAGAAGAGACTGGACAGCCACTTGTCTTAAATTGTATGGGGTTTCCTGTTTGAGCAGGGGGTTGGACTAGAAAACCTCAAAAGTCTCTTCCAGTTCTATTCTGATTGATTGAATACATGCAGCTTCAGTCTGCAAACACCTCTTGGCTGGGTATTGTGTGGACACGCCTATGACATCTGGCAAAGCACCCAGCTGCTCTTATTAGAAACAAAACTCCTCTAGGAAAATTGCAAAGAATTATTTTGGACGGTTCAGTTATTTCTAGTAAAAGGGTTCATGTTCTTGGCTCATAAACTGATGCATCACTGACACTGGCTGAGTTTCAGCAATTTGCTGACCTAACACCTTTTCTGGGTTTGGACAGTAAGTTGGATTACAAACACGAGTTGCATATGCACAACACGCAAACTAAAACAAAGCCAAGGTTAAAACTAACCAAGCTTAGTGGCCATTATGTAGGATGTGGAATTGAAGTTGCCTGAAAATAGCAATAAATATATGCATATCTCTGTGCACACAAGTTTCTTAAACTGCTGACCAGTGGTTAGCTCCCTGTATAAGTTGGAGATAAGGAGGGTAGAATTTCAACATATCTAAGTGTCAGATTGCGTAAAGTGATCAAATTTGCCAAAATGTTGAAACTTCTTTAGATACCCCTTTGGGATTAACACGGTACCTATGAAAGGTTTTATTTCTGTTGCAAATTGGAATAGAACTTCCTCTACTGATAGGCTGTGTTTACCAAAACATGATTAACTAGGATAGTTGCCTAGAACTGCATAGGGGTTGGACTAGAGGATTTATAAGGTTATTTCTACCTGATGATTCTATAATTTGTACAACATGCTAAACTAGATTAGTTTAACATTGGTTAAATTGTACATATACTGTATGCATATGTACTGTATAGGAAAGTACCTTAGGGTACTAACCCGTTCTCATTTTTGATTCATAGTTCACTCTTTCTGCAAAGCCAGGAAATGGTAATGTTGTATCCAGCCTAAGGATGTTGTATGAACACACCAACAGTTCCTCCCTTCTCTAGAGTATTCACCTCATATGAACCTAATTTAGCTGCCTGTGCCCAGTCAAACCAATTTTATTTCTTCATATCTTACATTTTTAATGGGATTGATTTTTGCTGCTGCTTGTAAGATTTATATTGGATCTACTGTGGTTTTATGCCCTCATCTGCTATTTATAACTTTATTATGTATATTGATTTATTGAACTCTAGGGGCATACATGTAGCTCTTGATGAGGCACACTTCCACTTTCTCATATGTTGCTTGTGACCTGGTCCATGCAATGATTGATTATTGCCTCTTCAATTGATCAGAGCTTTTTAGCTCAGACCATAAGCAGTAACAGATAGAAAAAGGCATGGGTGAAATGTATCTTTCAGGATCAAGTTCAAGCAAAATACGCTTGACTGCATTCCATTTAATAGAGTTGCTAATTAATCCATTAATCCATTAGACCATAAACTAAGCAAGCTAGGTTTTCCACTATGTTAAACTACAATTCTTCCAGTTAAAACTAGTTAGGCTTTTCATGTGTGCAAATGCAGGTTTTTAGATCTTTAAATGACCCTGAAGAGTATAATGCTATCCCTGGAGGGGGGATACTTGTGATGGAGGACTGTCTACTCCTCCTCACCCTTCTTCATCCTCCCATGAACCTCAACTGGAGAAGAATCAAGTGCTCCTGGTTTCTCAAGCGAGCAAACTAAAGTTCATGGTGATAAAAAAAAAACATGTTGGTATACTGCAGGAAAATCATCTACTGTCACAGAGAATTCCATCCTTGTTGGCAGAATGTCATTAAGGTTTCTAGTATTTTTATCCTGTGCTTGGGATTTCCTTCCGATCTCTGGTATGAGAACTCCTGATCCAGTTGGGACCTGTGCAGATTTGTTTCCCAGAAGGCTGCTTTTGCCAGTTGGGCCGTGGGAATGGCTTGCCCTTTTAACCATGGGCTCTCTACAGACTCCTTCACTTTGCTCTAGTTCTCTGCCTTGCACAGCTGCAACCTGATCTCTGGCACTGCTGCCAGGGCCAGGGAAGGAAGCTGGCCACCAGCCACATGCTAGGCCACTCAGAGAAGAACTGCTGCTGCTGCTGTGTTGCTGGCAGCTTCCCAAAATAGAATCAGCCTGGGTGGGGAGATTGCTATGGACATGGCAGGGAGGAAAAGCAAGGTTGCTGCAAGGCTTGGAAAGGACTAAGAGAGCTGGATGACAGCCAGACTGCTGTCTCTCTGCTGCCAGAGGCAGAGACTGGAATGGATGCAGCTGCTTGGTTGGATCCCCAAATTGTATTTAAAGGGCTAGCATGAAAATGTTCTGGGAGGCCAGGTGTGGGGCAGGTGAAGTATCTAGAGTGGCCTGCCCTATTCACATAATTACACAGAACCATCAGATATAAAGGACAAGTGAAGGGAAGTCTGATGCTTTTGACACAGAATCCAACACTCTAATGTTCCACATTTTTACTTTTCAAGAATCTGGCTTCCAACACTTTGACAGAGCCAGTTTGGTGTAATGGTTAAGGCATCAGGCTAGAAACCAGGAAACTGTGAGTTTTAGTCCCACTTTAGACACCAAACCTGGGTGACCTTGGACCAGTCACTCCCTCTCAGCCCTAGGAAAGAGGCAATGGTAAATCACTTCTGAAAAATGTTGCCAAGAAACTGCAGGGACTTGTCCAGGAAGTTGGCAGGAGTCAAAATTGACTCCAAAGGATCTAAGGACTCCCACAACAGAGTCTACAGTATGGCAGCAATATCTCTGCTTATCGCCGTAGCTTGGGGGGGGGGCACTTGTGGTTTGGGAACATTGTTGGTAAAATGGGAAAATAATTCAATGAAAGGTTAAGAAAATCACATGTGTTGCTAGAAACTAACACTATATGAGAGCAAGAATTCATTGGCCAGATACAATTATTTAAATGTTGAGAGGGGTGGGGAGATTTCAGCTGCCAGGAGTTTAGAAGGATGGGTGGAAAATATTTACCGTGTGGGCAATCTCATCTTGCCCAAACAGAACTTGAGGAATCTGGAAGTACAATACTATGGTTTGCAGATAAATAATTTAGCGGCAAATAACTCTTGCTGGTAGGTGGTGTGCTAAAGAAGGAGCGCAAGGCCTAAGGAATCAGCTAAACATCTTTATTTGTGCAAATTGCATGTGTTATAAAAGCTATTCCCTTTGGTGGTGACTTGGAATAGATGCAATAGGAGGGACAGGGTCCATAATGGGGCGACAGATTTCATACCTGTATAGTTTTCTGGTGACTCAAGAATGGGTGGAGAGCACTTTTAATTTGACAGTGGGGAAAGGTTCTAACTTTGGCTCAGCTTTTTCTGTCCAGTAGAAACAGGGGCATCAGCTGTCTCTATTAGCTGGCAGGCATGGGTTACTTGAAAAATTGGCAGTAGAACTAATTCTAGTAACTGTTGAAGATCTTTTCAGCTTGAGGAGAAGCCACTTTTCTGCAGCTTCAACTTGAACATTGGAAATGGCCCTTTCATTGCCTTTTCTTGCTGCCCTTACGTTGGCTAACTTTCTGCTGTATTGCTCCAAATTTTAGACAGCTTCTTGGCCTACCAAGCCTCAATCACTTGATCTTCTGTAGCCTACCCAAACAAAAAGTGGAGACAATAGCAATCAAAGTAACACAGATAATGTCTATGGCTAGCTTATAAACATTCATGTGGCCTATCAACTTCTACCATCTCTAGACAGAGCTGGATTATTGCACGCAGCCTCTAATGTCTCTGTGGTACCAAGGTTTACATGGAAAAAAAGACAGTTAAACCAGTTACTATTACTGCATTTACATGGCTTTGAAGTGCCCATCTTTCAGCTGAGCAAGAATGTGGGCTGATAAATGTCTATGAGTATTTCCTTGAGATCCATTTTAATAAGTTTTGAGTATTGTGCCTTTCCATTTGGAAATGGGGGTGACATCGCTCTACTTTACAGTTATAAAAATTTAAAAGATGGCAGAAGTTTTCCTCCTGTTAATAACAAGTGCCTGTGCTTCATTATTTGAGTAATATATAGGGATAATAAGGGAATCTTTGGAACAATTGAAGTCTGTCCCTGTTTCTAAGACAGAAGTGGTCTGGGTCTGCACAATTTATGACATGCCTAACCTAATAGACTCCAAGAAACTTGTTTTGTGATACCTTGAGGTTCCTCCATGATTTTTGAAGTTGTAGACCCATGGCAGAAAGAGAAAGAGTTTATTGCACCTCAGAGAGGCCACTTGTGTTTGGCCA